GAAGTCTCGCAGAATTGTTTCGTTTTTGATGTTGTCAACTTCGAAAATTGAGGAAGTCTCGCAGAATTGCTTCGTTTTTGATGTTGTCAAGTTCAAAAAGTGAGGAAGTCTCGCAGAATTGTTTTGTTTTTGACGTTGTCAAGTTCAAAAATTGAGAAAGTCTCGCAGAATAGCTTCGTTTTGAAGCTTGCAGGTACACAGATAGACAGATAGACAGATAGATAGATAGATAGATAGATCGATAGATCGATAGATCGATAGATCGATAGATCGATAGATGGATAGACGGATAGATGGATAGATGGATAGATGGATAGATGGATAGATGGATAGATGGATAGATGGACAGATGGATAGATGGACAGATGGATAGATAGATGGATAGGTAGATGGATAGATAGATGGATAGATAGATGGAAAGATATATGGATAGATAGAAAGATAGATAGACAGATAGATAGATAGTTAGATAGATAGATAGATAGATTAGGTAGATTGGGTAGATTAGGTTGATAAGGTAGATAAGGTAGATAAGGTAGATAGGGTAGATAAGGTAGACAAGGTAGATAGCCAGACAACTACAACTACAACTTCAACTACAACTACTGCAATTACCACAACAACAACAACAACTACTACTACTCCTACTACTGCTACTGCGACTACTGCTGCTGCTACTACTACTACTACTGCTACTACTACTACTGCTGCTGCTACTGCTACTACTTCTACTACTACTACTACTACTACCACCAAATCTACAACTACAATTACAACTACACTACATTACACTGCACTACACTAATTACACTGCAGCACACTACAACTACAAATATACAAGCAACTACAACTACTACACTACATTACAAAACACTACACAGCATTACACAACACTACACTACACTACACTATTTACATTACATTACGCTACTCCTACAAATGCAACTACAATTCATTACAATTACCACTACACTGCATTACGCTACGCTACACCAATTTCAATACACTACAACTACAACTACACTACTTTACACTACACTACACTAGGTTACACTACACTATACTACACTACAGTACACAACACTACAGTACACTACATTACACTACACTAATTACACCACACCACAACTAGAACTGCAACTTCAACTGCAGATACACTACACTAATTACATCACATAAGGACTACAACTTACAACTACAACTCCATTACGCTACGCTACAACTACAACTGCACTACACCACACTACATCCAACAGTTGTGGTGAGGTGACCACTGCAACCATTGCAACCACTCCATTAAACACAACTCCAGCCACCTTTCGGTCCATCAGTGGATTCGCTCTGCCATCCGTGATTCACAACAACCAACCTCTCCTAAAGGTTTCCTATTTTTGAAACTTCCGCCACCGCCTTGTGCGGTACTACTGGTATATCTACCAAACAAATACCAATTCTATCATGGGTTAGCATGGTCTAGCCTGCTGTGGCAGAAATGGTGGTCTGACCATTCTGGTTTGGGGACTAATATAGCCCCAAACAAAATGAAACCAAAACCACTTCAGAATGATGTTGTGGCAAAATACACCAGAAATCGCTACAAATCACATGAAGTTGGAATCTTCTGGCTCCAAGTACACCAGAAAGAGACCCCTCGTCACCTGACACCGTCTGCAGAGGCCGAGCCCCCAAACCCTCTCTATAAAGTGGCCTGACCGGCTTACGCCCTAAAAAAACCCGAATCGATTTTGGTTGGGCCACTTGATAGCCGCTCCCGAGCAGAGAATGCCTCTATAAAGTGGCCTGACCGGGTTACACCCCTGAAAAAAAACCGATCGATGTTGGCTGGACCACTTTATACAGTGCCAGCCCCTTCCATCCCTTCGTAATTCAAAGCAGTGTTGCCCCAGTCGATGTTGTTAACGACTTCGATATCGATGTTTGTCTGGCTGTCGGTTTCATTTGGTTTCGAAGTTTTTTGAGTTCCCCGTCCCCATCTGGCAGATCGATGATACTCCCCCAAAATTTGAACGCGGCCCGTCGACTATACACAATAATGTGGATGTTTCCATCGACGTGATTATGATTAAGAGCACCTTCGGTATTACAACAATCGTTGTTTACTGGGTAATCCACAGTATAGTACCACTGTTCGACACAAGTATTATTGCTTGGATGTTGCACATCTCACCTTATAGTGATGGGAAACGTTCACAAATACCCTCAAAAATCCACATCGACTTTTGTGTTTTTACATGGCCAGGCAACTTCATACAACGTTGGTTTGTTACTTTATAACCTTCCACTTTATACACCCCCACAATGTGGCCATTCCAGTTTATACCAGGCTATTCTGTATAGACTCGGCCCCAAATATCCTAGCGGGCTATACATAGGGGATACAAGATGTATTTCGCCTGGCAAACGCAGTACAAAAGACATATCCAGCAAACATGTTAAGAGGTCAGGGCGCTAATTTACTGAAAACCGTTGCATTTTGCTGCATTCAGGTTTGCCAAGATGATTTTCCGTGACGTGCGCATCACTTCGTATGACCTGGCGCAAAAATAAATTGATAGATACATAGATAGACAGGTAGGTAGGTAGGTAGGTAGATAGAGAGAGAGATAAATAAATATAGATAGATAGATATAGATAGATATAGTTAGATATAGATATAGATATAGATATAGATAGATATAGATAGATATAGATCGATAGATAGACAGATAGATAGATAGATAGATAGATAGATTTAGATAGATTTAGATAGATATAGATATAGATATAGATATAGATAGATGGATAGATAGATAGGTAGATAGATAGGTAGATAGATAGGTAGATACTCCAAAGTAAAAGTGAATGGCGCTAATTTTTGACATGCGCCATCTACAGACCACTTGAGGGATGGGGTGTTTTGCGCCATCTATAGGTTCCCGACACACGTTGTTGAGAACAGCCTGTTTTCCTCTAGGTTAGTTTAAACTTAGTATTAAGATCTGGGTCCATTTTTTCTTGGAAAACCATAATTGTGGATTGCGCCATCTATAGGTTACCAAAGGAGGAGGGAAAGGAGAAAGGAGAAGGAGAAAGGAAAGGGAGGCAACAGGATTTTTCTTTGGGAAACCATAACTGTGGATTGCGCCATCTATAGGTTGCCACTGCGTTCCATTTGTAAAGGGAAAGGGAAAGGAGGAGGGAAAGGAGAAAGGAAAAAAGGGAAAAAGAAAGGGAGGGAAAGGAGAAAGGAAAAGGGGGAAGAGAATGAGAAAGGGAACGGGGAAAGGAGAAAGGGGAAATGGGGAAAGGAGAAAGAGAAAGGGGACAGGGAAAGGAGAAGGGAAAAGGAAAAAGGGAAAGGGACATTGAAAGGAGGAGTGAAAGGAGAAAGGAGAAAGGGAAAGGGACAGGCAACCTGTCTTTTTTCGGGAAACCATGAGTGTGGATTGCGCCGTCTATAGGTTACCGAACCGTTTAATTTGTAAAGGTAAAGGGAAAGGAGGAGGGAAACGATACAAGAAAAAGGAGAAAAAGAAAGGGAAAGGGAAAGGAGAAAAGAAAAGGGGGAAGGGAATGAGAAAGGGAACGGGGAAAGGAGAAAGGGGAAATGGGGAAAGGAGAAAGGGAAAGGGGACAGGGAAAGGAGAAGGGAAAAGGAAAAAGGGAAAGGGACAGGCAACAGGATTTATTTTGGGCAACCAAAGCTGTGGATTGCGCCATCTATAGGTTACCACTGCGTTCCATTTATCAAGGGAAAGGGAAAGGAGGAGGGAAGGGAGAAAGGAGAAAAAGAAAGGGAAAGGAGAAAGGGACAGGAGAAAGGAGAGAGGGACAGGAGAAAGGAGAAAGGAAAAAAGGAGAGAACAAAGAAGGGGAAAGGGAAAGGAGAAAGGGAAAGGAGAAAGGGAAGGGGACAGGAGAAAAGGAAAGGGGAAAGGGAAAGGAGAAGGGGAAAGGGGGAAGGGAATGAGAAAGGGAAAGGAGAAAGGGAAAGGAGAAGGAGAAAGGAGAAAGGGAAAGGGACAGTGAAAGGAGAGAGGAGAAAGAATCAAAAGAAAAAGAAAGCAATCGCTATTTACCAAAAATAGCGATGCTATTCGGGGTCGCGCCGGCGCCATCTGCCAAAAATAGCGATTTTACGGCCAGGCTGCGCCATCTACCGTCGCTATTTTTTTTGCGCCATCTACTTTTACCTTGTAGATAGATAGATAGATAGTTAGTTAGATAGATAGATAGTTAGATAGATAGTTAGATAGATATATCGATATATCGATAGATAGATCGATATTAGACAGATAGATAGCATTAGACAGGTAGATAGGTAATAAGACAGATCGATAGATAATTAGACAGATAGAAAGATAATTAGACAGAAAGGCAGGTAGATAGATAGATACATGGGCGGATGGGCACATAGATAATTAGACAAATAGACACATAGATAGTTAGACAGAAAGATAGACAGATTAATAGAAAACATAAAGATAGATAGATAGATAGATAGACAGATAGATAGATAGATAGATAGACAGGCAGACAGATAGATAACCCGACGCTCCAACAACCTTTCGATCCATCAGTGGGCTCGCTCTGCCATCCATGAGTCACAACAACCAAGCTTTCCTAAAGGTTTCCTATCTTTGAAACTTCCGCCACCGCATTGTGCGGTACTATTGGTATTACAATATATTACAAGTGCTTGGTAGGATGGGACAGGATTCAGGACGCGCATAGTTCGGAAAGTGGCAAGTCGCCCGTGCAACTTTACCATTGAAGGTGCTAACACTGAGGCTGTGGAGCTCACAGACTTGGGACAAAGAAGGTTGCGGCCCCCTTTCCATTGCCATAGGAGCTGCAAGCTGCGTCTGGGATCTTGGATGATTTTGGATGATCTTGCATGACCTTGGAATTCCTAGAGCCTTAGAGTCTTGGAGAAGTTTTGAGAGCCCTGATGACATCTAGAAACAGTGGAGCTGCGCTCAACGTGTGAGGCTGTTGCCATGGCTCGGCTGGCCCGTTGGTACGAGACCCATCTGTACTTGACTCTGACAGAGCTGGGTCCTGAGAAAACAAAATTCGATCAAATTGGAGTGTATGCATGTAACACATTGATAAATATGGATAGTTATCAGTTATCGTAATATGATGTGATACTACCGGCTTTTCACGTCTCTACCAGTGCTTTGAGATTTCTGGGGTCTTGTTAAGACTGTTTTACGCTGTTGGGAATCTGCTTGTGTTTGTTTGTTGTTTCCTGCCTGTGCCCAGCGCATTGGAGTGAGACAGAGCGAGGTTTCACGTGGTTGATCTCAGCCATCGAGTGGCTTGCGCGCAGAGCTCAGCCATTCTCGCAGCCACTCTCAGCCTCTTTAAGTGATAAGTGATGATAAGATACAAGTAGTGCCCGGGCAAGCCGGGGGCGGAAGTTTCAAAATTGAAACGCTTATAGCCTATAGGGCGGAGCAAAGGCTGCGCTATAGGTGATGGACAAGACTCCTGTGCTTCGCAGCAACAAGCTCCCGACTTGCCAATCTGATGCCATGTCTTTTGAATGCCCATGCATCCGCTATCTCAGCGCATTTCGTGCGAGACTTCCCTCAAAAGTGAAAGCGGAAGATGTGAAAACGAAGCTTTGGTGCAACACCTCCCTCAATAAGTGAAAGTGGAAGATGTGAAAACAAAGCTTTGCATGGTGCTAGACCTCCTTCAAAATCTAAACGTGGAGGATGTGAAAACGAAGCTTTGGTGCGAGACCTCCCTCAAAAAGTGAAAGTGGAAGATGTGAAAACAAAACTTTCGTGCGAGACCTCCCTCAGCTATTGAAAGTTGAAGTGGTGAAAATGACGCCTGAACTGTCAGTTCCACAGCGCGTCCGATCAGAGAATGATCCGAGGACACCCGGGACTGTCTCGCACCCGTCCGCCGGACAAGCTTCCCCAGCCATCTTCCGGGACACGTTTTCCCTGCAAAACACAGCATTTCGAGCATCCGCTATCTCAACGCATTTCGTGCGAGACTTCCCTCAAAAAGTGAAAGTGGAAGATGTGAAAACAAAATAAAACAAAGCTTTGGTGCGAGGCCTCCCTCAAAAAGTGAAAGTGGAAGGTGTGAAAGCGAAGCTTTGGTGCGAGACCTTCCTCAAAAAGTGAAAGTGGAAGATGTGAAAATGAAGCTTTGGTGCAGACCTGCCTCAAAAAGTGGAAGATGTGACAACAATACTTTCGTGCGAGACCTCCCTCAGTTTTTGAAAGTTGAAGTGGTGAAAATGACGCTTGAACTGTCAGTTCCACAGCGCGTCCGATCAGAAAATGATCCGAGGACACCCGGGACTGTCTCGCACCCGTCCGCTGGACAAGCTTCCCCATCCATCTTCCGGGACACGTGTTGCCCTGCAAAACACACCATTATTTCGTGCATCCGCTATCTCTCAAAAACGCATTTCGTGCGAGACTTCCCTCAAATTCCGACAGTTGAAGATGTGAGAACGAAGCAATACGAAGCGTTCATGCGAGACTCTCCAAAATTGAAAATAACGAAAATGGAAGATATGAAAACGAAGCTTTCGTGCGAGACCTCTCTCAAAAAAGTGAAAGTTGAAGATGTGAAAACGGAGCTTTGGTGCGAGACTTCCTTTTGCTTTGTGATTTTTTTGCTGTGAGATCTCTTTGCTGTGGGATCTCTTTGCTTTGACATCCCTTTGCTTCGACATTCCTTTGCTTTGACAGTCCTTTGCTTTGACATCCCTTTGCTTTGACATCCCTGTGCTTTGCATCCCTTTGACATTGCTTTGCTTTGACATCCCTGCGCTATCCTGCGCTTTTATTTTTTCAAAATCCGCTACACGGAAGTATAGGCTTCTAAACTTCCTTTGATGATAAGTGGATCTGAAGATATCTTAAGTAGTCTCAAGCGATTCGCAAGTGCTATTCTTACAAGCTGCGACGAGAAGTATGGAGCTGCCATTCTGCGCACGTGCTGCCACGTCCTTCCTGAGGAGCTGAGGGCATCAGACGGCAATAGAACTTCCGAATCATTCTGAGCTGTCGATAGCATGGCTGCCCGACCCTTCCAAGGTTGAGCCCATGTTGCTGCAGACGCCGCAGTTCTGGGAGATCTTGGGCTATATTGAGGATGAAGTCCAGGCTTCGCAATTTGTTTGTTTTTAATTTGACGGTCATGGACGCACTGCGATGGCTTTTGAATTCGCTGGGTGTCCCTCACTTGTATGTACAGACTTCAAAGCAAAATGATTTAAAAACACGCACAACTACAAGCTACGGTCTCAAGACGCCCTTACGGCCCTTACGTCATCCTACGTCATGATAGTGGCATCAGGCCTCCTTGCCTCATGGTATCGGACATCCGTGCTCTTTGTCGTCTTGAGCTCAGAACAACCGAACCCGTTTCAATACTTGTCTTTCTTCGCATGCTTGCTCCTCTCTAAATCAGTACGCCAGATCAAAGCATTCTGCTTGCCAAAACAATAGCCAAAAGATTACTGCCTCTCATGTTTATTTGTGTATATGTACATATACATTTATATGTACGCATCCATTTATGCTTGCACAAAGCACTTCGCTTTCAATGAGCCGAGCAAATGCAAGCATCTGGACTCCGCCAAACAACCGTAGACCAGCATCCAAAAGGCACGGAGTATCAAGGCATCATCAAGGCTTTGACCAACAAAGCCAGTTGCAAGTCAGTTTGAGAGGAGGCGTGTTGATTTGGAAAAATTGGCAGCCCTTGTCAAGCAAGGCTTTGCCCATATGGTGGCAGTGGGCCTCTCAAGGGTGGTTGCAGTGCATGCGTTGGATTTTGTGTGATTTGATCGAATTTGACGGAGTTTGAGCGCATTAATCTCAAGCAGGGTTGAGATGTCATCAGACTAATCAATGTGCAACATGATGTATTGAAGTGCCAAAGAATATGGAACCCCTTGTGCGCAAACATCCTTTTGACTTACATATCTTGAGCGCCCACCTGATATTAAGTTGCATTGGCAGTCGGCCTTGCGAGAAATGAATCACTTGTTGCAAGGTCCTGACCCTGTCAGCTGCAGTTGTAAGCAGCTGTACAGTGAGGCAACACAGCGACTGCTCGGAATCACAGAGGTAGTGACGTTTGAGATGTGGTACGCGGCGACAATGACAATCTATATGCGCATACATGCATACATAATATTTTATTGTTTTTTACCTTGAACTATATATATATATAAAGCGCGTCTGGTCTGTGAGTTGGAACGAATTCACAATTCAGTGGATGATAGGCCTTGAAATGCCTTGACAAAAGGGATTGGACATGCTGTGAGATATTTTAATGTTGTGAGACTTTCGTTGTCATTTTCCAATATGACTGCATGCTGCATGCACGGATGATTTCTTGGCACCAAGGAGGGAAGAAAACAATTTTATAGATTGCCCCTGAAGGCAATTTTCAAACGATACGCATGGGTCCCCTATAAAATTGGAACGCCCAGGTTAAATGGGTGTATTGGCAAGGGGATGAAAAAAAGGCTTTACGTGCTTGTGACCCCAACTGGACATGTTACATTTTTAGCATTTTAAACATGAAACATGTTTCTTTTAGCTATGTTGAATGTATGTTGATCTGTCTTGGAGGCTATAAAGGCCTAAAAATGTAACGTTACATTTTTAGGTGTCTTAGATCTATATCGGGTTACATATGGTAGATTACGTGCTTAGGGGGGGGGTAGATGCAGAATTTCCAAAACCTGCATTTTGAGCATATGGAAAATGTATGTTACATTTTTTAGGTCCCCCCCGTCTAAGGTAGTAGGGATTTATGGTCAACCTCGCTGCCCTGTGTGTCTGTGTGTTCTAAAACCAGCGGGGAAGAACTATTTTCAAACATTCCATTCCGTTTTAATACATGGGCAAGCACGGGGCACTAGGGGATCGAGTGAAGCTGGCGCCAACGAAGGCTGCTTTTCCAGCATGCAAGATTGGCTATGATCACCTGTTATTCTTTGAGGCTGTTTCAAGTCATGAAAGGTTTGCTTGGTTTCAGGATTGGATTTCTTGGGTTGGATTTCTTAGGCATTTCGAAAGGCGACGACAACCTCACCATTATACGTTTCAATTACAAAGTTAGTCCTTACTCGTTCAGCGGTGTGTGTGTGTGTGCGTATGCGCATTGTAAGGAAATAAGAATACCCAGCTGTCAACGCTTCCGAAATACTGTAGTAGGGGAGAATGGCACGGCAGCTGTTGTTGCTATTGCGTTTGCCGAATAAGGTCAGAGAGGGTTTGCATCATCTCAACTGACCCTGGAGAAGACAGGCCGTCACACAAACGCCATTGCTTTTGGCATCATTCCAGTCCCCATCGCAACCTTGCATTAATAGATGTTACAAGTGTTACATGCTGTGCAAAGTTTTTTTTTTCCGGCCAGCATTGCACGACATTGCTACCCTTCAAGCCAAGGTGAGTTCTGCGTAGAATTCTTGCGCTTGGTTGCGTTGCAATTCAATATCAAGCTGGATCATGCATTACAACTGACGCATCCCCTCCAATCCTGCTGGAAGACATGCCGTATGGTGCCCAGAGTCGGACAAAATTTGGCCTTGCCCAAACTATTTTTATTTGTCTGGTGCGGTCGGGATCATTACTTGGAGCATGGAGCCCTTCCTGAGGTTTCGCATGGCGCAGGTCCCGCCTACACCCGTCATCAAACCACTTCGGGGAGGCAGACGCAGCAGAAGTAGTTGTTTGCGTAATCTTCCATGGGCCCATTGTTTTATTAAAACATTTCAATGGCATGAAACCGATTCCTTTAGATTCATTTCGCATTTTTGCACTTACCTTTTCCTTTCTCTAAGAGTATGACAGTATGGCGTCCTGGAACTAGCCGATGCGCACGGGCTGGTTCAATTGCCTAATTTTGTGGAGTTACGCAGGGGACATGAAATTCGACGATTTCTTGCTCCCACCAGCAGCCGTGGAGCCATGGGAGACTCTCGGCACCTCAGTTTTGAGCACATTTGATATGATTAAAAAGGATCTTTGTGACATTTCTTCGATCGTTTGGTGTGCTGTGGTGGGCAATGGTTTTGATGTGACTTGCTGCACTGATCTTTGCATACCTCACAAAACCAAGCGAGAACATGTTGCTGGGACTTCTTGAAGTGCGCGGAATGTCATTTGCAGACCATGTTGGGCCTGAGGAAGTCGGCGAGAGGAGGCTACCAGGAGACCACCTGTGAAATGTGGTGTCAGGATGTCAAGGGTCACTAACAATGACTTTGTTTCGCCCAGTGCTTGTGAATACACTATCTAATTTGTGCGAAAGAAATAAAACTGGTTGCCTGTAGGGGAATGTAGATTAATTGTATCGTTGGGATCTGGGATGTGACCGTGTGACAGAACCAAAACGCCCAAGTCCAGATCTAGCTGGGCCCAGCAATGTCAGAAATGAACGCGTCTGTTACCTTCAGGTGTCGGTTTTGCCTCCACTTTTCATCCCGGAATGTTAGGTGTGCCCACCCTTCAGTGTGGTGCCAAATTTGGCACACCAAAGGCCCAAACCCAGATTTAGGCCCAAAAGTGTCACAAATGAAAATATAATGGTGTACAATGAAGGTTTGCACTGGTCTGTTTCTTTCTTTTCCTTGGCCCCTTTTCTTTTTGTCTTGCTTCGACTTCTATGAGTTCCCTGGGCTCTGTGGGTTGTGGGTGTGCAGGCCTTCGTGGTGGTCAAATCAAATTTGAATTGAAACACCAGCTTTATGTCATGGAATTTTCAGGGGAGAAGTGCGAAAAAGTAGAGAAAGGGCATCTGAGTATATCACCTCTGTTGATGGACGTTTCTAACTTCCCAGTTGGCTGGTTCAAGTTTGGGTGCTATTGGAATACCATGTACCGTTTAGGGAAGGGTACTAGTAGTTACTCATTATATCTGATTATGTAAGTCTGCTCATGTTCCTCAGACCGCTCATCCACGAAAGGCATGACCAAATCAGCTCCAGCTATCTTGATCACTTCCTGCAGGTACCCGCATCCTACTCACAGGGCGCCCTTTCAGGTCCAAAAGCCCCAGCAGATAGCGCTGCGCTGCCAGCTGCTTTTTGATGCTAAGCGGAGCTGGCTTTGCGCTTGGAAAGCGGAATTCCATGTTCAGATGGCATGGAGTTGCTGTTGAGTACTTTGAACACGGCTTTGGCCGATGCCGTCCCTGTGAAAGTGAATGAACTCTTCCTCACAGCCTTTTACTCCCCAAGCGCCATGGCGGAGGTGGAAACATTTCAACTTCAAGGGATTTGGAGAGCACCTTTGATGCGAAGGCCAAAGAAAATCAACGCCAAGCTGTCCAGTTCCACAAGAGCGTGACGCCATGTACCAGCTTTGGTGCCCGTGGCAATTGGAATGGTGATGAAGCTTGCCCCACAAGGAATCTGGCAGGCCCAACAACGGAAAGTTTCAAAAGTTCAAGGGCAAAAGCTCTTCTCGCTCCTCTTCTCCCACAAAAAAGCCTTCAAGCAATTTTCTTGTGCTTCACCATGTGCTGGAGTCGGATGATGCGCGAAAGCTGAACACTTGCTGCTATGTCACTGACGGTGATGCAGCTGTTTCCAGTGCCCAGGTTCCACAGTCCTCCGAAGCTCATGTGAATGCCAAATCTTTTGAGAATTTGGATGTTCATGTGTATTCCCAGGACGTGTTTGCCCCAAACGAGGTTTTGGACCCCTTGGAAGTTTCTGCAATTGACACGATGCATGATGCCTTGGACGCTTCATGACAGTTCTGAGTATGCCAGGGAACTTGCCAAAACCGAGCCCAAAGCGTCCGCCCTGAGCGTGCCCACTGACAGCAAGGCCGCTTTTAAGATCTTTTAAGTACGAGCATAAGATCCCCATTGTGGCTGAAGATGGCACTTGCTCTGGAGCTAGTTTGACTGATTCCGATCAACTACGTTCATGGTACTGAAGGATACGGCCCTGCGTGGCCCTGTGTGAATATGTACAATGCTGTCTAGAATAGCCAGAAGAGCGCCGACTTCACCAAGGCGCCAAGGGTTTCTGCAGATTTGCCAGCTGCAAGGAGCCCGGCTGCAACAAGAATGTGATCAAAGCTGACCACAAAACACCTTCTCAGTTGTGGTCGTGTCTTGTCCAAGTTGCACTTGGAGCAAAGTTTGGACAGTCTGCAAGATGAAGAAAGATAAGAAAGCTTTTCAGCAGTGTTTGCCGTGAAAGGACCCGAGCTGATGAAGAGCAACGTGGACTTAGGTTGCCTCTTCCTGCTCCTTTGAAGTATTCTGCTCCAGCTGGAAGCTGGGTGCGGCAAGGTAGATGCCACGAAGATTTTGCGAAACCCAGATCCTGGATTTTGGCGGTATGGCTTCTACCTGTCGTCGTCTTTGCATATTTTGCATGGGCTCCAAGCCTCTCCAACTTCGGAGGACAAGGACCTTGACATCTTGCAGCTTCCCCCAGCTGATGATTCACTGCTTGGCCCTGAAGCTCCATTTGAGCGCAGCACCTATGTAGGTGTCATCATGTTTGGAAGCCGCATGGTATTGCCAGCAGGCTTGGGTCTAAGCACTGGACCCCAAGAATGCGCTGCGCCTTGGGACATACAGGTTTGGATTTTACTTGTCAGGGAAGATGAAGCTGGTCTACAGCTCTACCATGCGAAGCTGCAATGCCGGCTCCTTCCGTGAGAAGCGAGTTGCCAAGTGATGATGGTCACCGATGTGGATGACAACGATGCCATTGCTCAGGCCTATGCCACCACTGACCTGGATCCGCCTCGACTGTCCTTGACGGTGCTCGAAGAGGGCCTTGCCACCCTTGGACTTTCGCCCAATAATTAGCTGACACAGCAACCAGCCTTTTCTCTGGCGTGGGTGGTCAAGTGAGCAGCCAAACAATCAATATCTTCTGAATTGGTAGTGAAGTGCATTCTGCTGACTCCAGGCCCAGGCTCGCTTTTGTTGTCCAGGAAGAGCTGGACACCAACATCGACATCGGCAGAAACACCGTCAGCTTCAGAAAGATTGGCGAGGATGACCTTTCACTTCTGTGCACTGCTCGAGGTCATCTTGCCGTCATCTTCTTGGACTTTGACAAAACGAAGCTTGACCAGTTTTAAAGTCTTGCCAGCTGCCGATGCACACCTTTCAGGGCAACAATATGATGAAGTTCGAGAAGGATGGAATCCCGACGATTGGCTTGATTACCGATTTGAGCTTGACCATTGGCGTGAAGAAGCTGCCAATGCCGAAAAGGCCCTTCAAGAAATCCGAGCTGAACTTTCATGGGGCGATCCATGTCCCCATCCACGTGATGTTCAAGATGATGGCCAGCCGCGCGATGATTCTCATGTCTTTGAGGCCCTGATGGCACAGCAGCCTCAGCTCAACAGAAAGACCAAGAAGATTCAGGCCATGTCCAACGCTGTGGATGGAGGTGACTGCAGATGACTCGCAAATTTCAGAGTCCTTCCTGGTCGAAGCATTGTTTCCAGAATTCCACCACATGGAAAAACATGGATCAAGCAGCTCTTTGCAGGCCAGATGGGTTTGCCGTTTGCCTCTCCTCTTTGTGGCCTATGGCATGCGTGTTGGGGTGCCTTTGGACCACAGCTCTTCCACACGGGATGCCTCTACGAAAGCTGGCCAACGATGTTTGCACAACGACAGCAAATTCGAAGATCCTTTTGGTGACTGTGGTCACACAGCCGTGTGGGCTACCGGGAAGTTGGGCACGATTCCATGTAGCCAAAGCATGCTAAAACTGGCAATTCAGCCATAATAATTATATAATCATTGTCCTTCAACTTCAAGAACAAGGACACCCCACACTGGTCATGATCAATACGACAAATTGTCAGCCTGAAGGCAAAGCGACATGTTTTTGTTGAACAACCTCAAGGATCTTCCTGGCTGGAAGAACCAGAACTTGCTGATGCGCAAGCCCTGATAGACTCCAGTGATCTCATTCTCATCATGGTCCATGGATGTTGCGTTGGATACAAAGATGCTGAGTTCGGACTTCCGCATCACAACCCACCCATCTATGTGGCCTCAATGGCTGCTGCTGAGAGCATTTTTACCAAGCGACTTTGCGAGGGGTTTCGTGGGCACCAACCTCTTGAAGGTGCCCCTGTTTTCGGGCCTCGCAAGCGCAAGCTCAGTTTGGCCAGATGAGCTCAACCGTTTGGTCTTTGAGACCGTTCTGCAACAAGCTGCAATTGAAGAATCGGCTACGGCCAATGCTGAGGAGATGTTTCTTGCTGAAGCACGGCAACCGCCACCAATCTGGTCCTAAACCGCCAAAGAGAAGGAGGAAACGACGGGTCAGCCCTCTCACTGATCCAATTTTGCGGCGCTCCATCACTTCACCTTCAAGTTCAAGAAGAGGATCCTCCTGGACCAGCTCTTTCCTTGGAAGATGATGCTGACCTGCGGCTCAACTCAGCCCAAAAAAGATGTGAAGAATGGTTGGCGACTGACCCAAAGGTCCGCAAGATTGCGCGCACTCTGCATGTCAACTTTGGGCTTGAAATGCCCTAAATCTGCTAGCGTCGAAAAAAACTTTCAATAGCTAAATAATTCAAAATATGCAGAAATATGAAAACATATATCATATAACCTGAATATATACCTTTTGCCGCGAATTTAAAACAAATATAGAAAATGCAAACATGAAAATGTAACTTTGCATGTGACAAGAAATAGAAGCATGTAAATCTAAAAATGTAACTTTTTTGTGTGAACAAAAACCAACAAGAGAAAACATGTAAATCTAAAAATCAAAAGTACGGGAAAGCAAAATTACATGCGACACTTTTTGCATGTTCAAAAATCTCGATTTGCGAATCGCATTTTTTCCTCTTTTGCCTTTTTGGAAATTCGACATGTTACATGTATTTCCCCTTGCTTTCTCAAAAAAGATTTCTATAAGTTCAAACAGTTGCATTTTCCCCTTTCTTTTAGCTTTCCATAACAATGTAAAACTAAAAAGTTGAAATTCTTTTTCCCTTCCTTACGGCGCATAATCTAAACTGGAAAAGTTACATGTCGTTTTTTTGTAGGGTATGATTTTACATGTTTGAGTTTTGTCTTTTCATATTTTGAATTATTTGGTAGAGTATAGGCTGTGGCTATTTGGTGGTTGTCAATTTTGAGCATCCAAGCAACACCATTTTGCAACGAATCCTTTGACGTCAAGGTGCGCGTCAAGAAGTGACTTGCTTGCATATGATGCCTGTGGGGAAAAGCATTAGACGTCGCAGGCCCAAGCCTGTTAGACTGCCTTCCAAGTGCATCTTCAACAACCACTTGCTCATGGACGTTTTCTATTGCAAGGATATCACCGGTCTTTCTTTCTCCTTCCTCAACATGATCGATGATGCAACAGGGTTTCCAGGTCGTTTCATGTTTGGGTTCCTTAGGGGCCACCGGCATGCAAAGCCGTGATCCGGCACATCATGACTTCATGGTCTTCATGGGCCGGACTCCCCAACCCTATATATTCAGATTGACTTGGGACAGGAGTTCATGGCAGCATTCAGCAGCTACGCGAAACAATTTGGAGTAGAAGTTGAAACCGAACACTTTATGAGGTGCAGCCCAAGGGCATCACAAGGGCCTGGAAGACATGATCCTGGCCGCTTCCATGTTCTCCCAATGCCGAAACTCTTTTCCAATGGGTTTCCCAGGCTCTCTTCTCACTGATGAGGAGTCGCAAAGACTTGAAGTTTTGGAGGCAGCTTAAGATCCACGATCAACCCTTTCCAAGTCACTTCAGATCCGAGAAGTGTGGCCCAGATTCGGCTTGACACTGGCTCCAGGGTTCGCCAAGCTCTTTTGCTCAAGTCAACAGGGGCCCATTTCCAGCTGGAAGCCGTGTGTATTCCTGCGACTTCAAGCTCCTCCAGGAAGCCAGCGACCCCATCGATGGTTTGGCCCTGCAAGATTCATTGGTTTAGAACTTCGCGCGCCAGCCCGACTTGCAGACTCCGATGAGATGCCAAGTGAAGGTGGCCAACCCCGAAGCTATTGGCTTCGCTATGGCTCAACTGTGGTCTTGGTGACGGATGAGCAACTGCGTTTTGCAAGTGAGGACGAGCTAATTGCAGCCCATACAAGTCCTCAAGAATTCGAGTACCCCTCCTGTACAAGATCAACTACAAGATGGTCCTGATGACCAACCTCCGACAGCTCCTTTGACTGCAGGAGCTCCACTAATGCCACCAACACCTTCTGATGGCTATGAGCCAAGCACTGCGCCTGACATCAACCAGGAACTGCCACCAGTTCCTGAAGATGATGACGATTTCATGAAGGAGCCACCCCAACTACAACCTTCCGATGTTCAAACGCCACTTGTGCAGCAACAACCATTGCCTTTGCCAGCGCCACTTGACCTTGAACATCAACCACCACATCACAACCATGTGAAATGAATGACTCAGGCTCTGAGCAGCCCATGGCTCATGCTAGTGCTGGCGATGTTTTCCTCACTGGTCGCGACATCAACTCCTTGAGGACTCTCAGTGTCAGGTGAACCTGCGCGGCTTGTCTCCTGAACATCGCTGAAAGTTTGATGCAAGTATGGCAAAAGAATGGGATTCCTGGCAGCGTTTCGATGCCGTCGGGATCCTCACCAACGAGCAGATTGACAAGCTCCCAGAAGATGCTGAAGTGATTGGGACACGTGAGCAATCTGCTGGTTTGCTCTTCCCCGTCTTCTTGGAGAGGAGCTCAGCCATGAGTGGTGGTTTCTTGTTTTGTCAGTGTGGACAGTGTGGACCCACGAGTTTCCCTTTGAAGCCAAGAGCCGCATGGCTGTACAAGGTAACCAAGAAGAAAACCCAGTGGCATCCGGACCAACAGTCCCACAGCCAGTTTGCTTGCCTTCAATTTGGTTTGCGCCATTGCCACCATGTTCAACGGGATCATCACGGCTTGTGATGCTTCCACGGCATACTTGCAGTCCCACGGCATCAGGCATTTGCTTTTGTTGCGGCCTCCACGGCCACCACCTCCTGGTGTTCAAGCTGATGATTTAATGAGAACATGGGACGGAAGGAGCCCTACAAAACGCTTCTATCTCTTGGCTGGCGCATGTCCAAAATAGAGCCCGCACTTCTCCTTTTTGGTTTGGATGGAAAACTTTCTGGATTGATCATCACGCACGTTGACGACCTTTACTGTGCTGGCGAAGGGCAAGTGTATGAAGCCTCCATCATACCGTGTTTGCAGAAGCACTCTGGCTGCCGAGCCGACGGGATTACTTTAACTGGTATTGAAGATGGTGACTACTTGCGAAGTCTCCTGATCGAGCTCAAGTATCCTGGCAAGAAGATTCTCGGCTTGGACCTCCAATTTCAGAAGGCGATGATGGCTTGCTTTACGGGTGCAAACAAAGAGCTTGGAAAGCACCCTCAACAAGGACGCGGGACAGCCGACAAAAGAGTAGGAATTCGGGTGTCCCAGGTGAAATAAGTGATGGGAGAAAATGATAGAAAATGATTATGACATGATGAGAGTGCCGAACCCTGTAACACATAACACATGGGCCGACGCGGGTCAAATGCTTGCCGACATCCTGGCGAAGTTGAAATGCAAACGTGATCCCTTGCCCCAAGTACCCCATTCTGGGAGGTGGCAACTTGAACCACCGGAAGACACAAAGATGAAGAAGCTCCAGATCCGCACAGGTAGACATGCCAGGAAGACAGCCAAAAGGGATCAAAAGGGCTGGGATCACGATGGCTGTGGACGGGTGTAAACCTAACCATGTTCCTGAGACCACTCATCCACTAAAGGCATGACCACATCAACTCCGGCTCTCTTGATCACTTCCTGCATTCAACCTGTTTGAAAAGCATTGCCGCGACACAGTCACAGCTAACGAATCCATTCCAATCTCTGTGCGCAATGGAAACATGTGATGTTTGTCTGGATGCTGAAACTGAATTGGCTGGTTCGCTGCAGTAGCCACAGCGCAATATTGCCTTCAAATCTGGGTAGGGGGAACATGGCTATTAATTACACACTATTACATTATCATGTGAGGTCAAGTCGTGTGTTCAACCTTATAAGCGTTAACCAAAAGCACCAAGAAGGCAAAGAGGTTGCTGCTGTTTTGCAGGATCCGATGCAGTTGCTGACTATGAAATTCTCTGCTACAAAGCTGGACTACGGAGCAGGGTCCTTGACTTTGTCCGCGATGTTTCAGAGTCAGGTCTATCATGTTCACCATGTTTCATCTCGAATCTTGCAGATGAAGCACAGCTTTCCTGTTAACCTAGCTATTCTTTATTGTCATGATAAACAAGTAGCACCCGGGCAAGCCAGGGGCGGAAGTTTCAGAATTGAAACGCTTATAGCCTATAGAGCGGAACAAAGACTGTGCCTATAGGGTGCCGGAAAGCCTTCTGTGCTTGGCAGCAACATGCTCATGAACTGCCGTTCATGTGCCATCATCTCCTTTCGTATTCTCATCCGACTTCACGTCCTCTCCTTTCATGTCATCTCATTTCATCGTAGCCAATTTCATCTCATCCCATTTCATGTTGTGTCTTCTCAGCGTTCTTCACCATCTCATCTCATCCCAGCTCATCTCATGCCTTCTCTGCTATTCGCAGTTCATCTCAGCTTTTCTCGTCTCATCACTGCTCATCAGAACTCTTCCCTTTTTAGCCCTTCTCAGTGTCCCCATTCTTCGCAGTTCGTTTTCGCTCTTCTGAGACTTGCGTCAGCTCCTTTCTTTCGTCTCATTTCAAGTCTGCTTTTGATGCCGCTGTACTATTTTTCCGAGTCTCTTCTCTTCTTTTTTCAGCTCACCTCATCTTTCGGTATTGACTTCTTTTTTTCCTTACATGTTTACAATCGCTGACATTCCATCAAATCTCTTCCCCTTTCCCACGAGACACCGCAGCAGCTTTTTCATGCTTTTTCTATGTGGACAACAGAAGTTCAAGTGGAAGCTGATTGCCTGCGCGGTCCACAATGACGCGCGCAGTCAGTCTTCGGCGGCCACGATGGCATCATCCAGGCGATTCAGGATGGCATGCAAGCTGTCGATTTTGCGATTGGTGACGAGGCGAAGATGTGAAAACGAAGCTTTCCCCTAAGAGCTGAAAGTCGAAGATGTAAAAACGAAGCTTCCCTGCGAGGTTTCCCTCAAAATCTGAAAGTTGAAGATGTGCCAGCGAAGGTTTCGTGCGAGGCTTCCCTGAAAAAACAAAAGTCGAAGATGCTGCTTTTGTGTGAGACTTCCCTCAAGACACTTCTTTGCTGTGAGATCTCTTTGCCGTGGGATCTTTTTGCTATGAAATTTCTTTGCTCCGTGAGACTTCTTTGCTGTGAGGCGTATTTGCTGTGTGACTTCTTTGCTGTGAAACCTCTTTGCTGTGAGACATTTTTGCTGTGGGACTTCTTTGCTGTGAGACTTCTTTGCTTTGACATCCATTGCTGTAACATCCTTTGCTGTGACATCCACTGCAGTGACATCCATTGCCATTGCTGTGAGACTTCTTTGCTGTGACATCCGCTGCCGTGACACTGCGACATCCATTTGCTGTGACATCCATTGCTGTGACATTCGTTGCTGTGACACTGTGACATCCATTGCTGCTGTGACATCCCTTGCTGTGACATCCGTTGCTGTGACATCCATTGCTGTGAGACTTCTTTGCTGTGACATCCATTGCTGTGACATCCTCTTCGGTGAAATCCACTGCTGTGAGGCTTCTTTGCTGTGACATCCATTGCTGGAACAGCCATTGCTGGGACATCCTTTTCTGTGACACCCATTGCTGTGACATCCTTTTCTGTGACACCCATTGCTGTGACATCCATTGCTGTGACATCCATTGCTGTGACATCCTTTTCTGTGACATCCATTGCTGTGACATCCATTGCTGTGACATCCATTGCTGTGACATCCATTGCTGTGACATCCTTTTCTGTGACCTCCATTGCTGTGACATCCATTGCTGTGACATCCATTGTTTGGACTTCCAAAGATCCGCACCACGGAAGTTAGATTTTCAAATTTCCTTTGTTTATGTTTATGTAATTAACATATACACGTAGAATATGTTTTGAGAAGTCAGCTGAAGTCCCCTGACTTTTCCGGTTTCTTGAGGCCTCGCCCGGCAGCTCCTTTGAATCCAGTGGAAAGTAGCAGTCTTGGCCACCCGTGATGGAGGCCAAGAGGGAACATGTAGCTGCAACCATGATAATTACCAATTCGACAGCGATAACAAGATGTAAGAAGCTAGCTAGACTCCACAGTCACAGCATTGAAGATCCTGCAACTCAATTTGTGTGTAATTTGCCCCAGCCGAAACACAGAATCCCATGACAGAATATGACAGATGCATGGCATCTCACAACTGCCTCGTCTCAAACGCCTCAACGCAACATGTTTCACGGATTTTCTGCATGGTTGAAAGGCCTGAGGTTTGCCAGCTGCGCTGCCGAAGACCTCAATAGTTTGTGCAGGCTGAGGGGTGAGATGAGAAGGAAAGGATCCAATAAAAGCAGAAATGCGGCAAGAAATGCTGCAAGGCGAAAAACACGGGCTTCGCATGGCTTCGGATCCCGGCCGAAGGAACAAAACGTGACAAGAGTCAGCTGGCCTACAGATGCGAAAACGTCCGATTTCTCGGATTTGGTGTGTGTTTGGATCAATTTTTTGCATGTATTTGTGCCCATCAAATGTTGTGTTTTTGACGATTAGATAAAATTGGTTTGATTTGACGCGGTAGCAACATCTAGCAACCAAAGAACCCAACAGTTCCCACAGCCTTGCCTGCCTTTGTCTGGCACTCCTTGCCTGCAATTTTTTTTATATTTGTTTCCTTTGCTACTTTTGTATATGATTTTTTCTGAAGCATAAATGCCGCCATTTTCTCAACGCGAGGACTCTGTATTTTGCTTCACGTACATGTTTTAATTTGTGCTAAGCTCTTGACGTCCTACTTGTATGATCTTGTATGATATCCATGACTCCATGACCATCCATGACGCCTTGAAGTGTTTTCAAGGCAAGGCGGCAGTACTGGAGATGAGCGGTTGGACAGGACATTGTAGTAGGGCAAAATTCTTCGCAGAAGAAACTTCTCTTCGCATTTCACACGTACTGGTAAGTCTGCATATAAAGGTTCAACCGGTTCAACCAGTAGACTAGGACAAAACTCAAAGGCGAAAAGATGCGGCTGGGTGGCTTTACACACGTTTGTGGACTGGCTGGAGCCGGCTGGAGCCAACTTGGATTTGAACCATGTTCAGATGACCATTCAAATGCTTGTATGATCATTGTACATAATTTTAACAAATGTATCATAATGTATCATTTACCCTGTTGTAATGCACGTACCATGCATTGGTCCATTGCAAGAGTCACTGCACAAGATTCCGACTGAATAGCGTGGAAAGTCCAAGTTGTAAGCCCTATTTGGCGATGAATGCTGAAGACTTGCGATGCAGACAAACAACTAGCCTGTATTTGTGCCCAGCATCAAGACACTTCAAGTTGCCAATGCCACCCGTAGGACACAGCATGCAAATGGATATTGTTTGCGAGTGTTCGGATGCCATTTTTTCTGTTAATTATGCTTACATTGAGTTTGCAAAGGGATTTGGCCCCGCAAATGTTCAAAGCTGGGCCACAACAAGCCGGGTCGGCATAGTAGCCTTTGATGTTGATGGATCAATGCACTTTGCAGTGATTTGCAATTAACATCCTGCAACTGTTTCAACATATTTGAATGTGCAACGAATTGAACTGTGACAACGTGCTACGTGCTCATTGTTTTTTAAGGGACGCACTTTTCTTTTATAGGGTTTCAACCCTATGCTGAACCCTGCAGCTGTAGAGATTGTAGAGGCGAGCCACTGCATTGCTCTGATAATTTTCAAAATTCGGGCAGCTCCAGGTGCAGATCACCGAGGTTGCTTAAATTTGCCAAGTCTGTAGCAGTTTAAAAAGGTTGTACATTTTTATATGCAATGAGAAAACGGTTGAGAGATGTTGAGAGCCACTTTGGGTCTGTGAATGCATGGAAAGTAAGAGAGGCATGGGTGCCATACTCTCTTACAGGATTTCTTTGGTCTAATTTTGGTTCGGCAGGTGATTTGCAGCTGAATGGCTTGTTTCCTTCTCTGAGGTGACCCAAAGCTCTGTTGACTACAGTTGTATTTGGGCCACTTCCGCCATAGTAGACCGGACGTCTCAGCACACCTTCCTGACACCCCTTGGTCACCAGCAGAACGAAACTTGTTTGTAGATTTGTTGCTAAGTTCCCGGCCGCGCTTGGGCGGAAGTTTCGATGATATTCTGTGGTCTTTTGTGGCTGTAGGAAATGAATGCCTTACATTGCCTTACAGTAGTATATTGAAGGTAGCTGGCTGACATCAGTGTTTGATTGATTGAATGACTGAAGGAATGGCTGACCGCGTAACTGACTAATTGAGTTGGCCACTCAAAGAATGCGTGGTTGAATGACTAACGTGTCAGGGATTAGACTGGGTGAGCGTTCTCTATTGTTCTCTTCTCTGGGCTACTTCTTCCGCGAGCCAACTCTTTTCTGAGCTGCTTTTGCTCTGGGCTACTTCTCTGACTCTGAGCTATCTCTTGTTTGGGGTTTGTCTTCTCCGAGCGACTCTACCTCGTTTGTTATCCCCTTCTTCTGTGCGCTACCGCTTCTCTGAAGCACATATTCTCTCCAATTCTTCCCTCAGCTACATCTTCCGTCAGGAGCTACATCTGTTCTGGGCCACTTCTTCTCTGAGCTGTACTTCTTTAAGCCATTTTTTCCCCGAGCCCTCTGAGCTGCTTCTTTTCCAAGCCAACTTTGAGCATCTTTGAGCTACTCTGAGCAAAGCAACTCTTAAAGTTAGCTACTCTGAGCCCCTTGGCGCAGCACTTCTACCATGTTTAGCAACCACCAGTTGCATTCCCGCAAGGTGCGCGATTCCCATCAAGACTATCCACGGCTCAGTTCCAATCGTCTTGCCAACACCAGCGCAATCCCACATACGAGTAGCACGGGCACGCAAACAAATCCCTGCCTTTTCGCAACACAAATCGCTTGTGCTCAATTGCGGCGCGAGTCTCGGACCCTCGCGATTCTTTGAAAATTGCGCTCTCGCTACAGTCTTGTGCCCTCATCTTCCAAAAGTGGTCCGGCCAAATTATCAAATGGTGGATGATGTGATGTGATTTGTACATTATTGTAAAATATTATAAAATATTATTAAATACCTTTTCGTCCAAACAGAGCTTTTGCTACAGTGCCGTGCATTTCTCCCCACTTCAGCTTTCAGGAGTTGTCAGTTGGTTATTTTTGCATTTTTCATCCATCGCTACACTCTCGCGCGCTCCTCCGCAGACAGATATTACCGCGATCTACTGCTTCCACTACCCGCGTCAACTTCCCAACTAGGGATGTTACTTGTGTATAGTTGTGTGGCTGCTGAGATGCTGCGCTGAAAAGCTACGTACTCTTGACCCATGTCCGCAACTTGGAAGTTTGCTAACTAAACTTTCCATGTATCAGTTATCAGGCATCCAATGGCATCCACCTTTGTTTTCTTTCGTATAGGTGTGCATGTGCTTGTGGCCCATTTGGTTGCATCTACCTCTGCTCAGGTACGCTGGCCGTGAATAGGGGTCTTGCACTGTTGAATATGAACGATCGCAATTTCATTCGGTTGGTTGCTCATGCATCATCCCAAATCTCGGTACAGCGATCAGGAGTTGTGGCTGGCAAAACTTGTGGAATAGGAGCTTCGGAAGCAAGCGCCTCTCAATGCTGCCACAAGATGTAAGGAAGGAATATCATGTGATCCAGTTGTCCAGCAGTTGGTCAGAAAGATGTGAAACTCATTTGATCACTATTTTTGTGCTGGCTTGCGATGCTTCCAATACAAGGCTCATCACCTATGTTTAACTTGTTTTTTCCCAGCGCCTGCAGATGTGAAGCCCGCGGAAAGTTTTTAACAGAGATGAACAAATTGAGAATGCAGAAATGACCCAGTCGGATGCAAAGGGTGCGCAAGGGACCTGGACTATGCTGCGTCATCATCCAAGTGTCCATGTGGGCAAACTTCTGCATGGCTTTAAATTCTCCAGCGCGAAACCATAAAACGACAAAATTTGGATCATGCAAGCCACGGTCAGCACTTTCAAAGTTGGTTGCACTTTATGTGGCCAGTAAAATTTTAAAAAATAGTATGAGGCTTCTTACTTACAGGTTGAAGCGCCGTGGCAGCATTTGCCACCTGCATTTCTATATTCTATATAGGTGTACATATAGGCATAGATGCATACATGCGCACCCACATGCATACGCACACATTCACGTACATGTATATATATATGGGTAAATTATAACGACCTCACTGCGACCTCACTGCGACCTCACTGGAATCATGGTTAACAAGGGGAATCATCCCAAAATGGCTTTATTTCAGCTTTGTGAATTATTATAATTTGCCCAGATATATACGGCAAATGCCTGGGCTTTGCCCCGAACCGCAACGACGACGGGCAACGCATCATCATCATCATCATCAACAACAACAACAGCAACAACAACAACAACATCATCATCATCATCGTCAATTGAATGTAGATGTTAATGTTCCCTAATAGCTTTGTTGATCTTCCCAATTGAATGTAGAGTTTAGCGGGGGGTGGGCTATTTTAATATTCCCTAATAAAATAGCTTTGTTGATCTTCCCAGTTGAATGTAGAGTTTAACGGGGGGTGGATTATGTCAATATTCCCTAATAGCTTTGTTGATCTTCCCAAATGAATGTAGAGTTTAACGGGGGTGGCATTTTAATATTCCCTAATAGCTTTGTTGATAGTTGAGAAAACACAGGGAATCCAACCCCTTCTCATGTATAGCTCATACGTGTCATGTTGCATTGTCTCATTTTGCTTTCGCACCTTGTATGTTTGGCTCAAGCGCTGTGAAAATAAGCTTGCGCCTCGCTGTGGTTGCACATTGATTCTGTACCATCAAGGCTGTGTGGTACTAGAATTAACTGGTTAACAGCCTCACTCTGTGATCAAATTCCATATATAATTCTTTCGAGTCTAGGCCGAGCCATCCTATTCTTGAAAAAAAAACCGCCACTAGCTAACCACCTTTGGACCATAGCTAAAATCGAGTTGCAAAGCTTAGTCCACTTGTGTTGTGAGCCAGTGTGTTCCTGCCAGAGGTGCATTGCAGCAAGCCGAAGTGTAGAAGCATCCGAGCAAAGGACAGACTTCTTCCGGGCTGGTTGTCTTGCATCCGTGCAGCTCCAGACCTAATCAGATAAATAACCTCCACAATAAGATAGGCTTCAGGTCCCAAGTGTACTTGCAGTTGGTCGTTGCCTTGAAACTCCGAAGATTTCAGAATTGAATTATAACAACTCCAATTAGATTCCAGTGCGGCATTTTGCCGAGATCCTTGTTGACTTGCAAAGCAATTGAGAAGTGATCCGGGGATAGTTTTCCAACAGATCTACATTTCTGAAGTCCAGTTTGGTTCAATTGCCCAGTCGAGTTGGTGAGTGTCGTTGCTGCTTGGTGCATGCGTCGAACTCCGGCACCACCCGTGCCGCGGGAGCGCTCTCGGTCGCCTTTGTCTAGGCGTCTGCAGGGTGTCTTGGGAACAGAAGGACACATCGGGGTGGTATTCAGGCGAAGAAGAGAACGAGGGCAATCCATCGTCATTTGCTTGAGATCCTCCTTGAGTACGTTGTTCGTCTCCTTGCACTTCTTGACCCAGGGGCAGTTGGGCGTAGACAGTTTGAGCAGAGGGAAAATCAAGTGAGGGAAAGGTTGCGGTTTCTTGAGAGGTTGGCCAGATAGCAAGAGGATTGTTTTACCTCGACTCGAGGAATACTTGCGTGAGAATCAGGAAGAAGTAGTTTCGATTGACCGTGTGTCTGAGGTCGAGACAATTGTTTTTTTGGAACCTCCGCCTGAGGGTGATCCACCGGAGGATTCAGAGAATCCGTTTGGAGATCCTTTCTCTCGCCAAGTGTTTGAGAGAACTCGAGGTGGATTTACAGTTCCTGCTCACTTTCCGGTGGATCCAAATAGTTTTCTTGGTCAAAGGCTGGGAAGGGATCTTCGTTTCAGAAGGGAAGGTGATCCGATACCTCACCTCCTTTGTCTTTCCTTCCTTCCCCGTCCTGCTACAACTTTTGTTTCTCATTATATATTGGAAGAAGTTGACTTGTGGGGTTATCCGGCCCTTAATTTGTCTGACCAGCACTTCATCAGCCCGTCGGCGTATGCAGACAACTGGAGTTGGATCCTTGATGTGGTAGCTGACCACCTACCCACCTTGCAAGCCACCATCGCTGTAACTAGATCTGCTGGCGTAAGCATCGACTGGGCCAAGACCTGGTTTTGGCCACAAAGCCCTCGCAACTGCCATTGTTGACCAGGTCCAGCAGTGTTTGCCAGGACAGGTCATACAACCGAAGCAATCAGCCGCTGATTTTGGTCTTCAATATATATATATATATAGATAGTGGTAGTGATTCCTTGGGAATCATGGCCAACGGAATGCAGACGGGGCTGAAGCGTCTTGCCAGGCTTCAGGCCATGCCGCACATTGACTATAAAAGAAAACATGCTTAGAACTAGCGTTTTCCCTGCCACTTTGCACGGATGTGAAATCAAGCCACCACCCCAAGACTCCATGCAACACTTAAGGTCAAAAACAGCTGAAGCTGTGTTCGGTAACAGCCACCACTTCTCACCTGCCATAGCACTTGCTTGCACCAAAAGTAGCATTCTTGATCCAAGAATTTTGGTTACTGTTTAAAGCTTTGATCACGATCAGATCATTTCTCACTAAGCAACCATCTTTGGACCAAAGTGTTTTCTTCAAAATGCGTGCCAGTTTTCGAGGTACCCTACAACAGGTGCATGGACCTGCTGCCGCACTTGCGTATATGTTGGATCACATTGACAGACTTGAAACAGTGGCTACTTTGAGTAAGTTTGCGGAGTCACAGCGTTGGCTTTTGATCAGAGAAATTGCCGGCGGGTATCAAATTGCCTCACAGAAACAAAAATGGCTCACCCATGCCTCGGGCCTTTGCGATTTTTGCCAACAAGAAGACAGTAGGATCCACAGACTGCTTGAGTGCCCCATTGGCACCGAAATTAGGCACCAGTTTCAATCCGAAATTATCAACTGGATAAGTGAAGACTCTTTGGTGCCCGCTTTTCCGATGATCACTTGGCATCCAGATTCTGAAGCTTTGAGCATTGTTCACTATCAGCTGCCCAGTCCGATCTGGGGAGGTGCCATCCTCAAACAGATTAATTAGGCCCACGCATGACTCATGTTGATGTTCATTGGTTCACAGATGGATCATGTTGTAATCCCACTAACCCACATGGTAGACACGCTGCATTTGCAATTTTTCTTGACTTGTGCAGAAGCCATGAAGAAAGATGTGTGGTGGCCAAGTCACACCAATGCCAACTTCCTTGACATTCAGACACTGCAAATTGCTTGTGCTGCAAGTTGCTTGTGCTGCAAGGTGCCAGGGTGAACAGGACATCTTGCATGCTGAGATAACCGCGATAGTCGATAGTTGCTATTGCTGAGGCAGTTGGTCATGGGATCATACATGTTGACAGCCAAACTGCCATACACAATGTTCAGCTTGCACTCTCAGCATGGTCACCGTGAGCTTTCCAGGCCTGTGAGCACTTGGACCTGTCGTATCGCATTTGGAACATTCGTGGCTCAGTGAACATCCGCCTTGAGAAGGTCAAGTCGCATCAACAACTGCACACAAGTCAGGATCCTTTGTGCAAATATTGGGCTATTGGTAACCACATTGTTGATCATTTTGCTCAACATGCACGTCGTTTTTTGGAACCTGGGTATGTCGAACGGGTTGAACAGATTCATCAAGATATACTGCATGATAAGAACGACCTTGGGAACATGTATAATTTGCATTTGGCCTTACAGGATGTGAGGGCGAGAGCAACTGCCAATCTGGAGGTGGGAGACAAAGCAGTGAGACATGGCCAATGGTCTTTGCTGCAGGCTCGCAGTTCACGGACAGTTTCCCAGTCGCCTTACTATTTTGATGATGCAGATTTACAGTTCTTAAGACACGCCTCCTTTTCGGAGGAATGTGCAACACTCACCTATCACTGGATCAAATCCCTGGCCTGGCCTGAGACGGATGCTGGACATTTGGGGTGTATTACTGGTGCTACGTGGGTGGAGCTTAGCTTATCGTGGACGTGCTTCAATCGGAAATACATTCCAGTCTTGAGAAAGGATCACATGGGTATCATGCGCTCATTTTTTTTGCCAGGGGGCCAGTCTGCTCGCGACCATGGACTATCATTCACTGAAAGTGGTACCATGCTGCAAAAGATGATTGAAAATGTTTGTGGACTCATTCCTCAGCGCATTTGGCCGGCTGATGTTGGCAGAGGAAAGGTTTCTGCATTATACCGTTTGAGATCCAATCGATGGCACCAAGGCCTTGCAAAACGGCCACAGATGCCATGACAAGATCAAATCACATAAATTTTGGCAACTGCGTTGGATGGGTGCAAACAGGGATTGTCTGGTACTCCGATCATGGCGGCAGACAATGGAGCAGTTTCTGTAGGGAAAGGTACTTGGAGTTTCAGGGTCTTTCAGGGTCTCTTCAGGTCATGAAGACCAGAAAGCGCAGACAAGCACTTCTTTAGAGACTTTCGAACTTGGTGCGCAATGGTGTGCTCTCTTAGCCACTGGGCCGGGGAGGGTGCATCTAGATCAAGGGAACAGCAATTATTTTCAGGTTAGCGAATTGTTATAATTAACTATTATATATACTTCAGCCAGAAACACGCTTTACACCACATCGCATTGCATCACATTGCATTACATTGCACTGCAATGCGTCTCAGTGCTACGAGGCACTACCATACACTAATACACTACCATACCTTACCATACATCACCGTATACTGCCATACACTACCACTCATAGCATTACACGACATTACATTACCAGTGCGTTGCGTTGCCTTGCATTGCATGCATGCACGCAATACATAGAGAGAGAGAGAGACAGAGACAGAGACAGATGCAGATATATTAGATGTATCGATGGGTAGGTGGGTACGTATGTAGGTACGTAGATAGATGGATCCATTGAAGACAAAAAAGCCGATTGGAGGCTTATAGATTTTCATAGGTATGCCGGCTGCATATATGCAATATTGTGCAAGCATAGATGGAGGCAACAGAAGTGCTGGTCATGATCCACAATCACCAACGGCTCAGCGCTTCACGGTTCCCACGCTTCCGAAAGGGTGCGGTAGATGCCTTGCTGAAGTGCTTCTTCCCGGCTCTTGCAGCTCCTTGCCCTTGAGTCCCTTGAGCCTTGCGTGGTTGCTGAATTTGTTGGAAATTGTAGCTTGGCTGTCCTCATGCTCATTTAATCTCATTTGCATGAGTCATTGACGATGCATTAGGATGTCAGCCCAAGTCTTCCAGAGAACGAACCCGGCTTGCATATTTGAAGCAGGCCATGGAAGCTGTGTTGGTGAATTCATGCATTGCTCTGGAATGGGCAACACAATTTCCATGATACACACCGCCTTAGGGTTGGACAAAAATCATAGGACTCTAGATGATTTGAATTTCCATGTTTCTTTAAATTATGCTATCACGATATACCAGTAGTACCGCATAAGGCGGCGGCGGAAGTTTCAAAGAGAATAAATTGATGGCAGGGCGAACCCAATGATGGATCCAAAGGTTATTGGAGTCTCGGGAAATCTATTTGTATGTTTGTCTTTCTATCTATCTGTCTACCTATCTAACTTTATGTTTTTCTATTAATCTGTTTAGTTTATTTATCTGTCTAACTATCTATGCGTCTATCTGTCTTACTATCTTTTTTGTCCATGTATCTACCTTTCTATCTATCTATCTGTCTAATAGAATGGGCTGTCGCCCAGGTGCCGCCGACCCCCTTTTATGTGGGGTTGGGAGTGGATGTGCCGCAGCCATTTCCCCGCACGGCCGTGTCCGTATAGGGTTTCCAGGCCGATACAAAGAGGTTTGCGGGACCCATTGCGGCCTGTATAAAAAAGCCTTCGAAAGCTGCAGCGGGTGGTTTTAAGCCTTTTGGTGGTTTTTAGAGGTCTCTAAAACGTGCCACTTAGGAGTGCGCAATGTTTTGGCATTCGAAAGCTGCAGAGGCCGCAGCCTTGGTTCGGAGCCTTCGATAGAAACCGTTTGCGGGGCTTATTTCCCTATTATAGGGAAGTACCATGGTGCCATATAGGGGAAATAGAAACAGTTTGTGGGGCCTAGGGAAGTACCATGGTCCCGTATAGACAAGCGTTCGAAAGCTGCAGCGGACGGTTTTGAGCTTTTGACGCTTTTAAAGGTGCCTTAAACGTGCCACGTCGCAGCTTCGAAACCCAATAGAAACAGTTTGCAGGGCCTAGGGAGGTTCCATGGTGCCGTACAGACGAGCCTTCGAAAGCTGAAGCCGCCGGTTTTGAGCATTTGAAGCTTTAAAAGGGGGCTTAATAAGACGTGCCACATATTTTCAAGGTGATTAAAACGTGCCATGTAGCAGTTTCGAAACCCAATAGAAAGAGTTTGCAGGGCCTATAGGGAGGTTCCATGGTGCCGTATGGACGAGCCTTCGAAATCTGCAGCACAAGGTTTTGAGCTTTTGAGTCTTTTGATGCTTTTAAAGGTGCCGGAAACGTGCCACGTAGCAGTTTAGAAACCCAATAGAAACAGTTTGCAGGGCCTAGATGCAGCGTACTTGGATGCCAAAGCAGGCGCAGGTGGAGCCACAACCCATGCCACACAAGCTTCTGCGGAGGGTTTTGAGCTTTGGAGGCTTTTCAAGGGTGCCGAAACATGCCACGTGGCGGTTTCGAAATCCAATAGAAACACTTTGTGGGGCCTAGGGACGTACCATGGTGCTGTAGACAGGAGCATTCGAAAGCTGCAGCGGAGGGTTTTGAGCTTTTGATGCTGTTGAAGCTTTTAAAGGTGCCGAAAACATGCCACGTAGCAGTTTCGAAACCCAATAGAAACAGTTTGCAGGGCCTAGAAGCAGCGTACTTAGATGCCAAAGCAAGCTTCTGTTGATGGTTTTGAACTTTTGAAGCTTTTCAAGGTTGCCTTTTGACCTTTTGAGGCTTTTGAAGCTTTCAAAGGTGCCGAAAACGCGCCACGGTTTGCAGGGCCTAGAAGCAGCGTATTTGGATGCCAAAGCAGGCACAGGTGGAGACACAATCCATGCCACACAAGCTTCTGCGGAGAGTTTTGAACTTTTGACACTGCTAAATGGTGTTAAAACGTGCCACGTGGCAGTTTCGAAATCCAATAGAAACAGTTTGTGGGGCCTAGGGATGCCTAGGGACGTACCATGGTGCCGTATAGAGGAGCCTTCGAAAGCTGCAGCGGAAGGTTTTGAGCTTTTGAGGCTTTTGATTCTTTTCAAGCTGCCGAAAACGTGCCACGTAGCAGTTTCGAAGCCCAATAGAAACAGTTTGCAGGGCCTAGAAGTAGCAATTTTGCGAGACTTCCTTAAAATATGGAAAGTTGAGTGCAGGGCCGGCATCGTGCCAATGCGTTTTGCGATTTTTGCATTCCGTCTTTCTACAGTATTGCACCTGCCACGAAAAAGTGAGGCCACATCATTCAAAGTGCTGCACCTGTCACGCAAAATCACCTTAGCAAACCTGAGGACCTGATGCTCCAAAATGCAACCTGTCAGGAAATCAGCACCCTGACCTCCCAACATCTTTGATGAAGATGTCTCTTGTATTGCGCCTTCCACGCAAAATTCATCGTTGCAGATCCTTTTCAAATGCCCCACGCCTGCAGTTTCAAAAACCCCCACGTTTTGCTCACTTTTGGCAAGGTGCGGAATCCTTTGCGCCTGCCACACAAAATGACGATTGAACGTCCAAAAGTTGTCCGAACATGTAGTGCTTTTAGCATGTTGACTTAGAAACATGCTTCGCGCCACAACGCCATTCACTTTTTCATCATCTGAACTTCCAAAAGTGCTCTGAACCCGCTGTGTTTTTAACATGTACACTTCCAAATGCGCTTCGCGCCACAACAAAGTCCGCTTTTGGAACATCTGAACTGCCAAAAGTGCTCCGAAGCTGAGGCGTTTTGCGCATTTTGACTTCGAAATAGGTTTCGCACCATCGCGGCGTGCAATTTTTCATCTCTCATCTCCCCAGGTGGCTCCGCACCCGCGGCTTTAGCGAGCCTACTTTTCGACTCTCCGGAGCCCCAAAAACATTGGACAAACACAGTGTTTCGCGATTTTCCTACCTTTTTGCGCATCTGGATTTGTTTTCTGCCTTTGATGTTTTTTTGCCTTTCTCTGACTCTTCCCACCTTGGTTTTTTCATGTCCATATTGTCGGAAGTTTGACTTCTAAACTTCTTTCGAATATGGCAGGGCAAAACTCTCGCATGACCCTCGCTGCCTCGCTTCATTGTTTTGAATATGTTTGGTCACGTTTGGTCCAACAGCTGCACCTCTTGCACGGCTTACGTTCGACTGAAATTGAGCGCAATGAATATGGACGACGAATTATGGGCGTATGTTTTTACTTGCTTACAGGGGTGCAAGAATCAGTGTGGTTTCCACCTGTACATCGTTGTAGGACTTTGTGGGCCTTTGTGCGTCATTGCAAAACCGTTCAAGAGGAGGCTGCCTGTATACTTACTTGCCTGCCAAATTGCCTGGCGTTCAAATGTTTGTGTCATGAGTAGTGCGCAGATGATTACCTTCAGTCAACAGTCACAGTTGCAAAGTGAAGTTATCGGTTTCCAATATCAAGATGAAACTGTGCTGATAAGGCCAGGCAAGCCAACTTGTGTTGCAGGTTCTGGATTAGAACATGTCTATCAAATGAAAGGCATCCTGATTTTTTTCCGACAGAACAGCCAGCCCGAAGACGCGAAGAATGGCAAAAATGTTTTTCCTGACAATCTTGACAGGCCCTGTTCACTTTGCACGTAAGAATGCCATAGAATGCCTGCATAGTGCGCCAAAAGAAGTTAGATAAGCGGGACGTTCGTATCGATAAAAATGATAAACGACAAAATACTCAACTAATCTCAACTATAGATGATACTACAGTTTAGAGATTTTGTATAATTACATGTCGGTTCTGTAGCACTTGTAGGACCTTTTTTTTTGTGTGTGTGCGTGTGGTTCGTGAGGGAATGTACTGATACCGCATAAGCTTGTGTACTGTCGGTTCTCCATAGTTTTTCGATGTTTTCCATGGAGGTTCGCCGGAAGCAGGAGGTTCATCTATGGATTGAGTTGCCCCATGCAAAATGCATCTGGAAATTGATGTTTAGAATTGTTTAGATATGTTTAGTACATCACAATTTTCTCAATATTTCGACATCCTAATCATCCTAGTTGCAGCGGTGAATCTGGAGAGTCTTCAATAACAGGCCGTGTGTTGCAGCAAATAAAGCTGCTCGTGCTGAGATTGCTGAAATGCTGCATAGTTTCCCAACACGATCGCTTTAAGCTCACAACTGACAAGCTGACATATGTCACTGCTGTGTGAGCAAGGCGACGTACGTTGCCGTCACACCGACAGTAAAGTAATATCGAAATTATTACAGTTGCATGGTTGGTATATTGTTGGCACATGTTGGTACAAGGTGTTCCTCTCAGGAGATGTTTGAAATCTATTTACAGCAGATTTTACAGTATAGTTATTCAGTGGGAGGTACGGGAAGAATCTCGGAAAAAGGCATGACAATGCATGGCAACACTTGACGAATTCAATCAGATCGAATCAGATCGGTACAAAGAGGCTCAGGTCGGCACGCTGCCTGTGCTTCATTCGCTCTGATTTGAGCAACTCATCGCTCGCGACAGACCTGAGATGAAAAAGTGAACATGTATTGACCGGACATGACCGGACCATACCGGACCCGTTTTGAATTTCGTGCTTGTGTTTTTGGTGCAACCTTTTATTTCTTGGCAGGGTGATGCCGGGAGTGTTTAACTGTTTGTGGAGCAATGTGGGCGATTGATGGCGATTGGCAGTTGTCATTGGTTTGTTTAACGCATTTCAACTAGAGGTTCGTGGGAACATTGATGGTTGACCTGTAACCTGTGGGGTCATGGAACAATAAAATCCTTCCAACTTCCTGTTGGCCAAAAAAGGCTTATACACCATGTAGCCGTATTCAAGCCTGCGAACGATTGAGATGATATGAGATGACATGAGATTTTTTTTGCAATGAGTCTTTGGCTGGCATGTGCAGTACTGGCTCTATTCTAGTAAATTCTAGTAAGCATAGATGTGCCCAGTTTTTTTGATGTTATTTGCAATGAGCATGGGCAAACGACTCGTTACTTATCCGCTCAAGGACGTGTTTTCTCTTCTCAGGCCCCTGGAGACAAACTTGACTCGCTTGGTTGCAGAGGATGGGTGATGCAGATGGAAGTGAATCACATACTGTACAAAGATGATCAAAGATGTACAAAGTGCAAACCAGTCCTTTGAACTTCTTATGGTTTCGATTAGCCTGAATCACATGTTGTTCTTGTTCTTGTTATTGTTATTGTTCTTGTTCTTGTTCTTGTTCTCGTTGTTGTTGTTGTTGTTGTTGTTGGTGTTGGTGTTGGTGTTGGTGTTGGTGTTGTTGTTGTTGTTGTTGTTGTTGTTCTGCTAGTTACATCATCCTGTGAGTAATCAGGAGTCATCGTCTCTATTTATTGATATATTGATTTATGCTGCATGTGTGTTGTCCTTGTTTATTTGTTTTTTTTCGCCAATTTGTTTCTGTATGCATTCGTCGCACTATGCCAGATGTCCATGCATTTAGCCGTTCGACCTTTTCTTGTGCTGTGCATGTCATGACATACCTTCAAGACGGACGGCAAGACCCAAGCGATGAAAGGAGCGCGCAGACCTCACAAACTTCTGGAGCATCACATACCATCTCAACAGGCTCAACGCGCAACTCCAGTTGCATACTCCATTCAGTTGGAAGCGTTAGTGTGCATAAAGAAATGACATAATCATACACACTTGTTTTGAATATATGATATATGATTGAAATATACGTATTTTAATGTATTACAATGATTGACGTTGTGCGTAATGTTGTGTAGTGTAATGTAGTGTGATGTAGTGTAACATTGTGTATATAGTGTAATGTAATGTAGTGTAATGTAGTGTAATGTAATGTAATATGACGTAATGTAATGTGTGTATCTTATTGTATGTGTTTTCAGCATGTAGCATTGATGGCGACAGCATCACGTTGCATCATTTTGCACGTAGTCGCTGGGTTTGAGCCTTTACAACACTCTCCGCTCCTGGGATTCACAGGCTGTATGCTTCACTCCACGGATATCGCTTCCACAGGCCTTGCCTACGAAGCAAGTCCTCGTTCCTGACATTAACATGAAACTTTGCCGATTTGCCTCTCAACTTTCAACATCATCCAACAGGAATCCAACAATCATTCAAGATGATTCAATAGCACTGAGAGATTCTTTGAAAGAAGTACTGTAGTGTGGGATGAAAGTAGCTTGAAGGGCACTGCACAAGCCGGAAGTTCTGATACATTACTCATTACGACAAAGTACAGGATGAAGCAGGATAGACTGATCTTCCAGCTCTACGCCGACATACCTGAAAGACGTGGCCTCATTCGGTCACTATAGGTAGTGGTCTTCACCCTTCTTCGTAACTATCTTCTCTTTCAGCATGTCGTGCAGCTTTGAAAAAGATTGAAAGTGTAAGTGTAAGAAGTGCAAGTGCCCCTCTCGTCTTGTTTGATTTGTTTGCCAGAGGCCGCACGTGGACGACGAACAGCTGCGAGAGATGTTGTCAGATGGTTTGTATCCGCCAAGGCGGGACTTGCAATGCAACATTTGGGCCGGGACAACCGAGTGATACCGAGTGTCGGGCCCCCTATGTCATACTGTTCCTCCTAGCGATGCTCAAAGTTTGCTTTGAGTCTGTTTTGCTTGTTACTTCTGGCTCCCCTGAGAGCAGCAGATGGTCAAGGGAGTCAAGGAAGAAATAGAAAGAAAAAGATTGCATTGTTTTGAATTCATTGAATTTGGTCCTGGAACCTGACATTGGTCTATCTATCAGGGTGGTGATGCGACAGGCGTGTGCAGTGGGCCATTGTGCGCTTGGTCCAGCAAGAGCTTGAAGACAGGAGCAGTGGAGCAGCTGTGGTTCCTGGCATCTTCCGAATTGGATGACAACGCACAGCAAGAGTTGATTGATCCCCGTGACATGACTCAGTGACATTCAGTGACTCATGACTTGGTGAGGACTGTTGAAAGCTCATTTGTACGTAGCCAGGACTTGTGAGTACGTGGTCTGGATGGATAGTGATGCCTATGTTGCTTCATCAGAGCCTTTGGAGACGGTAAGCTCGCAGTGGAATTATGGGCTATAGAATGCTATGGACAGCTGCTACGGAAGCATATCGAAGTTGCTGGAGTTGAAGCACACAGCAAAAAATGAGAAGAATGCAGTTGAGAGAATTATGTTTGGAGCATGGCAGTATTTGTCATGCATTGTGTAGAATTGTCATGAATTGTGATGATTTGTGGGTTTTGTTGGGTGCAAATCGTAGCATAGATACCTGCAGTCCCCTTAGGTATCCCAGCTGCTTCAGCCTGCTCTCCCAATCTCTCCCATCTCTCCGCAGGTTTTGGAAGAGTATGGGCTACTTAATAAAACAGGTGGAAAGCTCAGGCGGTTCGAGAACTTCCACTTTTTCGTAGTTTGATCACATTTCAGATATTTCAGCAAGTCAGATCCTTGCTTTCGGGGCATTTACAAGACTTGACAACGTTGACAACATCACATCAGAATTTCTTTTCAACTGCACAGTACCACAGAGTTACTGCGGTCCCTTGAGAGTTGCATCCACTTGGGGTGGCCCAAGGCTGCACGGCATAGAGCCTGATGTTCATTCTGTCTTGATCCGTTTGTTTTGATCCGGTGAAGGTTTTTAATTTGCAGCTGGCATAGTGACATAGAGACATAGTGTGCATGTCGGTGGTAGACCTGCGCCGCCTTGTCCAGCGTGCAACGCCGCGAGTGGAGGATGTCAGATCACCTGACAGGACTGACTTCATTCGCCGCGAGCATGGTCACCTCCCCTTGCGAGAGGTCGTTGATGCTCTGGATGCGTTGCAGTTTTCCTCTGCTTCATTCCTGGCATGTTTTAGAGAACTTCAAGATGAACCTTCAGAGGGCGCACAAGCCGACGCAGAGAATGCAGAACCATTGGTGCTTTCAAAGGAAGAACGCTTGAAGAGATATTGTGCTGCAAAGCCAGCTGCGGAAATGTCAAATGACACTGCTGTGCACCAACTCTACCGCTTGTTGAGCCAGGCCAAGATACTGGATTTGGAGCAAGAGGCAACATCCTCGACACATTCGACACCCAGCTCATCTACCCCGGAATGGACCACTGTGCCGGAATCAAATTGGCAGCAGCTGGTTGCGACTGAGAAAGCCAAGGGCGGCGAATGCTTCAAACAGAAGGACTTTCAAGCTGTAGCATGCTTGTGCGGCAAGTTTTGCTCTGTTGACTTTTCCAAACGAATACCAATGGAGACTGAAAGCACCCAATGTTATCCAACGAAGTCAAAGTAAACCCTAGGCCCTAAGATATCATAAGATATCATAAGATATCTAAGATTCTAAGATTCTAAGATCTCAAGGCAAATCATCAGAGAAATGTTTGTTTTTTTGGCCGGTCACGTGCTGAGGCTATCAAGCACTACACCAAGGCTATCCAAGCTTCACCTAAACCGTTTAAACCTGATGAAGTCAGAGAAGGCGAAGCATCAGAAGCGTCGCAACTGTTCTCAACTTTGTCCGCATTGCTCTCAAATCGCTGCGCTGCGCGGTTGCAACTTGATGAGGGGGTCGCAGCCCTGGCAGATGCACGGACCTGTGTGCAGCTGACTCCTTCTTGGCCCAAGGGACGTTTTCGCGAAGGCTGCTGCTTGAGGCAGCTTGGTCTTTTGGAGGATGCCCAACGTGCTTTTGCAGCTGGGCAGAAACTAGAGCCGGACAACAAAGAGTGGTGCAAAGAGCTTGAAAAGACAGAGAAGCTCTTGCTTGCCCAGCCAGCGTATCAGGTGCCACTTGGGGCGGCGCTGGTACGTATGATGGCGCACAGCAGTTGACAAAACCATCCAAACCCAAATAGTACTGCACTCGTAGTTGGCCGTTACATAATGGTCAAGCTTGTCAACATGATATTGAATAATTAAGTAAGTGCCGAGTGCTGTATGCAGATGATAGTAACCGATCATAAAATGATATAAGATGACATACTGTAAGATATACATAGATATACTGTATAAGTAACATAGACCCGGGCAAGCCGGCGGCGGAAGTTTCCCAAACATAAATGACCTATAGTTCAAAGACACCCTGTCCCGACCGTGTCCTTCCCTCGACACTCCACACCTCACACTGCACACTGCACTCTTCGCACTCCAAACTTCAAACTTCACACTCCACACTTCACACTCCACACTTCTCACTTCTCACTGCTTCCTTCACACTGCAAACCTCACACTTCACACTTCACACTGCACACTTCACACTTCACAGTCCACACTTCACACTGCACACTTCACACTTCAGAGTCCACACTTCACACTTCACACTTCACAGTCCACACTTCACACTTCACACTTCACAGTCCGCACTTCACACTTCGTACTTCACAGTCCACACTTCACACTTCACACTTCACAGTCCACACTTCTCACTTCGCATTTCACACTTCACACTCCACATTTCACACTTCTCACTTCTCGCTGCTTCCTTCACACTCCAAACTTCACACTTCACACTTCTCACTTCGCACTTCACACTCCACACTTCTCACTTCTCACTGCTTCCTTCACACTCCTAACTTCACACTTCTCACTTCGCACTTCACACTCCACACTTCACACTGCACACTTCACACTTCACAGTCCACACTTCACACTTCACACTTCACAGTCCACACTTCACACTTCACACTTCACAGTCCACACTTCACACTTCGCACTTCACAGTCCACACTTCACACTTCACACTTCACAGTCCACACTTCTCACTTCGCATTTCACACTTCACACTCCACATTCCACACTTCTCACTTCTCACTGCTTCCTTCACACTCCAAACTTCACACTTCACACTTCACACTTCTCACTTCGCACTTCACACTCCACACTTCTCACTTCTCACTGCTTCCTTCACACTCCTAACTTCACACTTCTCACTTCGCATTTCACACTCCACACTTCACACTCCACACTTCACACTTCTCACTTCTCACTGCTTCCTTCCCACTCCAAACTTCACACTCCAAACTTCACACTTCTCACTCCACACTTCACTCACACTTCACACTTCTCACTTCTCACTGCTTCCTTCACACTCCAAACTTCACACTTCTCACTTTGCACTTCACACTCCACACTTCTCACTTCTCACTGCTTTCTTCACACTCCAAACTTCACACTTCACACTTCACACTCCACACTTCACACTGCACTCTTTGCACTCCAAACTTCACACTCCACACTTCACACTTCACATTTCACACTTCTCAACTGCTTCCTTCACACTCCAAACTTCACACTTCACACTGCACTCTTCACGCTCCACACTTCACACTGCACTCTTCACACTCCACATTTCATCTCATCTGAGCTCTTCTCACCTTATCCCAGCTCATCTCTTCTCATCTAGTCCCTTCTCATATGTCATCTATTAAGCTTTCATTATAATTCCCAGCACTACTACTAATCACTGTCGCACCCTTGATGCACCCACTCCAATGCGATTTAAGCTGCAAAAGACAATAGTATTGCGCATGCAGCCACAGCACGAAGCAACCTTGACGCAGCCATTACAATGCGATCTGCGGAGACTGAGTTGCAAAGCACAATAGAACTACGCGCAACGGCGTCGGAAATTGTAGCTCCAAAACCGGACCTCGACGCCAGAGCGAAAAAAAGACGATTTTGATACACTTTTTAAAAGGATTTTTAGAAGGAAAATCACTAGCGCCAAAATGGAGAAAATCTCCTGACAAATCACTGTCGCAGCCTTCATGCAGCCACTCCAATACGATTTACGAGACCCAGCTGCAAAAGGCAATAGTATTACGAATGCAACCACAGCACGAAGCAACCTTGACGCAGCCATTACAATGCAATCTGCAGAGACTGAGTCGCAAAAGACAATAGAACTACGCGCAACGGCGTCGGAAATTGTAGCTCCAAAACCGGATCTCGACGCCAGAGCGGAAAAAAAACGATTTTGAAGCACTTTTTAAAAAGATTTTTAGAAGGAAAATCACTAGCGCCAAACTGAAGAAAATCTGCTGACAAATCACTGTCGCAGCCTTCATGCAGCCACTCCAATACGATTTACGAAGTCCAGCTGCAAAAGACAATAGTATTACGTATGCAGCCAAAGCAGGAAGCAACCTTGCAATCCCATTTACATTGCGGGAAGGATACTACAGTTGCAAATCACACTGGAATTCCATTGGCAACTCATCCACCAGCACCACTTGCAATCCCATTTACATTGCGGGAACGATCCGAGACCGATCCGACCATGATCCGACCATGATCCGACCATGATCCGACCACACACGAGACCGTCTCGCACCCGTCGCACCGCAGAGGTAGATCATCGAGGTTCGGGGACAGACTTTGTATGGAAAAACATAGGGTTTCGTGCATCTGCTATCTCTCAAAAACGCATTTCGTGCGAGACTACGAATGCAACCACAGCACGAAGCAACCTTGACGCAGCCATTACAATGCAATCTGCAGAGACTGAGTTGCAAAAGACAATAGAACTACGCGCATTGGAGTGCGGAAATTGTAGCTCCAAAACCGGATCTCGACGCCAGAGCGAAAAAAAAACGATTTTGAAGCACTTTTTAAAAGATTTTTAGAAGGAAAATCACTAGCGCCTAAATGAAGAAAATCTGCTGACAAATCACTGTCGCAGCCTTCATGCAGCCACTCCAATACGATTTACGAAGTCCAGCTGCAAAAGACAATAGTATTACGTATGCAGCCAAAGCAGAAGCAACCTTGCAATCCCATTTACATTGCGGGAAGGATACTACAGTTGCAAATCACAATGGAATTCCATTGGCAACTCATCCACCAGCGCCACTTGCAATCCCATTTACATTGCGGGAACGATCCTACAGTTGCAAATCACAATGGAATTCTGTCGACCGCACATGCACGAAAAACACTTGAAACCCCATTTACAATGCGGAACCGATCCGAGAATGATCCGACCATGATC